CCGCAGACTGGTTCAGCTATCCTTCCGAGTTTCCACTGCCCCCACACTGTCCCCAGCGTGGTGTGATTTTTCACTTACTGTTTCTCTCACCCAACTGTGGGTTCCGTGAGGGCAATCACTGATGGACACACGGACAGCTGATGTCTAACAGAGGGCCTAGCATAGTACTACCGTAGAGTTTCCATCACAATGGAAATGTCCTATGTCTGCACTGTCCAATACTCAAGCCAATAGCCCCACAAAGCTATGAAGTACCTGAAATGTTATTGTGCCACAGAAAAACTGAATTTTAAATTTTATGTATTTTAATTATTTAATTTAACTTCAAGTAGCTATCTGAGGCTAGGGGCCATGGTATTGGACAGTGCAAGATGCTCAGTGAATATTCCTGAATATGGGGCCGGCACTGTGGCCCAGCAGGTTAAGCCATGGCCCGCAGTGCCAGTTCCAGTCCTGACTGCTCTACTTCGATCCAGCTCCCTGCTAATGTGCCTGGGAAAGCAGCAGAGGATGGCTCAAGTCCCTGGGAGACCCAGAAGAAGCTCCTTGCTCCTGGCTTTGGCCTGGCACAACCCTAGCTGTTGCAGCCATTTGGGGAGTGGAACTAGTGGATGGAAGATTTCTCTGTCTCTCCTTCTCTTTCTTTGTAAATCTACCTTTCAAATAAATAAATCTTTATTTTTCTTAAAGTAAGAAAACTTACTGCCTGCCACTCTGCCTTCCATAAATCTCATCCTTGTTCTTGGCTCTTTCGCCTGGGTCGAGTGCTTTCTCTGGGCATGGCCCTGTCTGGTAATGACCTTCTTCTGATGTGGTTTTGTTCTAAGAGCCCTCTGGAGACAAGATCTGGGCTCATCCAGTTCGGTTTGACCTGATCGGAGAAGAAGATTCTGTCCTGGGGGGCCTGGACTTCATCCTGGGGGACCCAGGTGGTCTGAGTTTGCCTGCTTTGACTGGCTGCCGACTTTGTCTTCAGGGTGATGGTTGAAACTGGTTGTGCTGCGGAAAAGTGACGGGAAGAGAAGAAGCCGCAGTGCTGACAGTCACTGCTACCCCTGGCAGTCAGGAGACTTCCAGTCCTGACACTGGAGACGCTGGCTGGCGGACGGGGCTCAGGGGCCACGCAGGGCAGAGCTCGGCCAGGGCCCCACCCATCAGGAAGACAAGGATGGGTCTGCCGCCCAGGGATCGAAGCCTGGGGGAGGGTGGTACTTTCCAAAATGTGCATTTAAAAAAGTCTAAAAAATTTAAAAAGACCAAAACCAAATGTCATAGCAGGTGAAAGGGCAGGTTATAAGGCAGGAGGCACACATCACCCCAGTTTTACAAAAACAAGCACAGTCCTGCCTGGATTTGACACTGGAGTGAACGTATGCGTGAGGGTCTGTGACTCTCCTTGGAGCAGGTGTTCACACCGTGTGAACTGGGTGAGGGTCTTTGGCAAGGAGAAAGCACAGTGCATGGCAGAAAAAGGAATGTGCACCTGCCAGCCCCTCTGCCTGGAACACTCCCGCCCCAGACACTCCCCTGCCGTGGTTTTTCCCGTGCTTCCCTGAGCCCCTGTTGGGTCATCCTTCCCAGACCAGCACCTCCGCCATGCTGCCCCCTTTCCTATAATATTCGAGTCTTTTTCATAGCGCTTGTCACCACCGACATTATATGACGTAGCCAGTTATTTTATTTGTGTGTGAAAGGAGACTTTGTTCTTGTTTTAAAGATTGGTTTATTTATTTGAAAGTCAGAATTACAGAGAGAGAAGGAGAGATAAAGAGAGAGAGAGGTCTTCCATCCGCTGGTTCACTCCCCAAATGGCCACAACGGCCAGGGCTGGGACAGGCTGAAGCCAGGAGCCAGGAGCCAATAGCTTCTTCCAGATCTCCCACATGAATGAAGGGGCCCAAGGACTTGGGCCATCCTCTGCTGCTTTCCCAGTCACATTAGCAGAGAGCTGGATCAGAATTGGAGCAGCCCGGACATGAACTGGTGCCCATATGGGATGCTGGCACTGTGGACTACGGCCAGCACCTCCCCTCACCCCCATCACAGCTCCCCAGGTCCCCTTAGAGCGCTGAGCAGTTTTCCAACTTTTTTTTTTTTTTATCATGATCCTCAGAAAGAAATGCATTCTCTCCTCAAAGCGGTTACATATATGCACAGGTTACATATATGCACAGGTTACATATATGCACAGGTTCAAAAGGTCGGTCGACGGAGCCAAATGATCCAATTGGCTTTCACAAATAAATCTACAATTACGCAGCACCTCATTCTAGAAAACAGAGGGTATTCTAGTGAGCTGAACAGAGGACGTTGCCTTTCTAGGCAGGAAAGGGTTGAAGAAAGCATAAATCAGCTAGGTTCAAAGTTACTCTCCATATCGGATTAAAACAGGGGGAGCTTCCTTACCCTGCCAGCTAAAGCTGCCCTTTGCAGGGATTTGGCTGTGTCCCGCCCCCACCCCCGCCCTTCCTCCGCCTTCTGATTTCTCTGATGGTCAGATGAACAATTTAGCTTTGGTGACGACTGGGTTTCACTCTGATAATTTGGAGCTATCGCGTGAGTGTGAGTGACTCCATTGTGGCTTGCTCTGGTCTGATGGGGCCTGGTGCAAGGGGCTAGTCCAGAGCAACAGCCTCCCATAAATGTTAACCATATACCAGGGAATGTAACCGAAACGACCAAACACCTTACTCTGACCTTGTTTCTCTCCCTCGCTTTCTGCTTTTCCCCTCTCCTCTCCTCTCCTCTCCTCTCCTCTCCTCTCCTCTCCTCTCCTCTCCGCTCCTCTCCGCAGATCAGCGCAGCTTGTGTCAGGGCGCTCAAAACTGGACATGAGAGTTCAGCGGCGGGGGAGTCGTGTTGACAGGGCGGTTGTAAAAAAAAAAGGCACGGGCGAGAGGGTGAGGTAATTAAAAGGCACCCTCGCTTAGAGGGAAGCTCAGCATGGCATAAGGCCAAAACAATCAGGCGTTAGAACAGGTAAACAGATAAGGCTTGGAACTCGGCAAGCAATATACTATAATGTGGGCGCGCCGATATAGAAAGCGATTTTGTAGATATAAAGAAAATGCGAGGTGGTAGAGG